AGTGAATATTTCCCGACTCCAGTTGTGTTCGTATCCTTTTTCAAAATGACCTTTCTGTCTGCTGATTCGTACTGTATCTCCTACTTTAAAAACAGGTGGATTGCGTTTTAATGTCTTCAAATCTCCATACAAATTTTCCAAGACCTCACTGGTATTGCTTTTATTAACGGAAGCTGGTTCCATTTTAATACTGCTATGTCGAGTGTGATTGTAACTCCATATTAATTGATCAATCACATCGATGTAATTCTTAGTATTGAATTCTGTGAAATATTTCCACATTTTTGTTTTCAATGTTCTATTAAATCTTTCCACAATACTTGATTTCGTAGAATTATTTGTTGTAAAAAATTTAATCTGCATGCTTTTCAAATAATGTTGAACTGTTTTATTTTTGAACTCTGTTCCATCATCCGATTGAAGTAATTCAGGCTTTCGTTCCTTAAAAATAGATTCTAAGGCTACTTTTACATTTTTTCCCGTTTTATCTTTTAGCGGTATGGCCCAAGCATACTTTGCGAAAACGTCAATACACGTTAATAAGTATTTATACCCTTTATTGAACTTAGAAAGAGATTGCATGTCGACTAAATCGACTTGAAATTGTCGATTCATATCACTTATCAAGACACGATTTCGCTGAAAATGTTTTCTTACAGGTTTATGCAGTGTATAAGAATCTTTAAAAGAGAGCCACTTTTTAACGGTATTTGCATTCTCTTTTCCTTGGAGCGCACGATGTATCGCATCCGCACCCCCAAAACTAGCTGGTTGCTTAGGATCTTTATAAAATGATTGCATGCTATCTGAACAAAGTCTAGCGAGTAAATGGGTAAAACATTAGATGATCACTGTTATTTATAAAAAAAGATACCAAGTTATAAAGGATATATTAAACTATTTATTCAATCAAAACTGGTACAAAAGTCAGTTTTAGCAATTTGAAGTATTTCAACAAGATCAATAGTGTCGAGAAAACGAGCAGTTACAAAATTTAACAGATTTTCTTGTGAGACAGGATAACGCATTTCATTTTTAACAGTATTATAAAAACTTTTGATAAACATATGAGGTTTTAAGTTTAAAGCAGATTCACAAAACATGACTCGAGTATTACTTGAAAGTTCTGAAGGGCTTACTTCCATAGGATTCAATAAGCTTGTTTGATATGCTAGCAATTTGTAAATTTCAGTCTTCAGGAGATGTCTTAACACTTTGGTGATAGTCCCATCGTCTTCAGGAGCTG